TGTTTCGTTCACTAACCCTACGCCGTTCGTTTTCGCCCCACCCCCCCCCCCCAATAATAATGTCTCTGATCCGCCGCCTCAATCTTGGTCGACGCTTTTGCACCGCCGTGCCAAGAAGAGCAGAGGACATAATGTCAAACCCAGATTGTCGTCCTAAGCAGCTATGCTTGAGAGTATGGTACTTGATCAGATTCGTTGGGGATCTCGACACGGCGGCGAAGTATGCTCGTTTGGCTGTTTACAGCAGAAGGAACTCCGAGTTCACAACAACAACATGTCAATTCATCATCGAAGGCATGTTGCGGGATGAAAGGTGCGAGGAGGCTGCCGATCTCCACTATTTCCTCTTCAATAAGCATAAGCTCAGACCCAACGTCCATTGCGCGAACTCCATCTTCAAATCCTCTTTAAAAATACAACGAGGCTTCTTTACCTTCGACCGTGTTTTCAATTTGCATAAGGAAGCCGTCAAATCTGTTAAACTCTACGACTACCCAAGTACCGATAGTTTCAGGGTAATGACTAAAGGGTTAGTCCACTCCGGTCGATTGGACCTAGCCAAAGCCGTGCTTGAAGACAAGACAGTCGATAGGATCATCTACCCAGATCACGTGGCGTTCAACAATCTCATCCGCGGGTTTTTGGGTCTTGGCAATCTAGACGAGGCGAATCGACTCTTGCTCGAATTCAAACGGTTGTTTTATAATGCCCTTTCCGTGACCAAAGATGATTTGCACCATTCAAACTTTGAAAACAGAGTGGCGTTTCTGACGGCGACATTCATGGAGTACTGGTTTAAGCAAGGTAAAGAGCTGGAAGCTATGAATTGTTACAACCGTGCTGTTCTGTCAAACAGGTTACTGGTTTGTGCCGAAACGGGTAACGCTCTTTTGGTAGTCCTGCTTAAATACGGTGAAAAAAACCATGCTTGGAAATTGTACCGTGAGCTCTTAGATAGAAATGCTACCGACTCCGGTACCATTAAGATAATGGTGGACGAGTGTTTTGATACAGGTCGATTTAGCGAGGCTATGGAGACCTACAAGGAGGCGAGAGCCAAGAACCACTTCCTCAGTGACAAATATACAATTACAAAGTGTTGCGAAAAAGGAGCAGACTCTTTATTTTTTGATGTTGATGGATACATCATCACAAGGTGTTGCGAAAACGGAATGTTGTCAGAAGCAGAGTCTGTCTTTGTTGATTCACTTGCTGTTGATCTCGGATACATTGATACTATCACTTTTAAAACAATGATCGATGCTTACGTCAAGGCTGGAAGAATCGATGATGCTATAAAAACCTCCAACAAGATGATCGACGCAACTCTAAAGGAAGTCTCCGATCTCTTTTGACCATTTTTCGTCACTTGGTGATCTTTATTTAGTGTATTTTTTTAGATGTACTTGTTTTAGACAGACAATAATAGAGTTTGAATGGTATGAATGGAGGTGCTTAGGTTTTAAAATGAATGATGGTGGTGTTGTCATTCCACACAGCCGAAGCGCTTCATAAGCTTATCATGTCATGTGAAGGCAGATTTGGAAACTATTGAACTAAGTTTCAAATTTCAAACGAATATTGTTTTGTTGGTTCAACTAACAAGTTTATAAAAATAAAAATAAAAACTCTTAAAGGATAAAAAGAAAAGCATAACAACAAATGCAACACTTATGGGTCTCGATGAATAGCAAGCTTTCGGATATTTGAAATGCGCAGCTTGTTCAAGGTCTTGATAGCATCATCGACTCTCCCTACTTGAACATACCCATTGATCATTGCTCTGAATGTTGGAAGGTCAGGCCCCACCAACAAGTCCTCTCCGTCAACGTCCGTAAACATCTCGGCGAAGAGTTTCTCTGCCTCTGACACTTTTCCATTCTCGCAGAGACACGCGATCATCGTCCTATAACATGTTTTCCTAAGCCGCTCGAGTGGCACAGTCTTTTCACTAAAATACTCGGACATTATGTCCACCGTTTCGGAATCACAGATTTCTATCAACTCTCCAAACAATTCCCAAGCCTCTGTTTTCCTACCTTGCTCCACAAGAACTTTTAAAACCCTGTTTCCTACAATGGGTTTCAGCACTTGAGCATCTTCCAGAGTTGAGAGAATCTCCATAGCTTCCTCATCTTTGCCTTGCTTGAAAAAAAACTTCATAAACGAAACGTTGAAGATCGTAATTGCGTCGTGATACTCTCTCCGTACAAGTTTACTATCCAATCGTTTCCATTCCTCCAAGATTTGCCTAGCCTTTACCAAGTTCCCTATATCCAAGAACCCGCGAATTAGAATATCATAGACCATGAAACTACTACTACACCTCATGCTCATGGATTTCGCTAATTCACAAGCTTCATCGAATCTTTTAGCATCAACCAAGCCTTTGGTGAGTATCATATATGTCTCGATCCCTGGAACTAAACGTCCGTCGAGCAAAATGTGGCGGTAGAGCTCAAGAGCGTGGTCGACGCAACGTTGGTCGCAGTGTGCTTTGATGATGAGATTGCAGGAGAGCATGTTTGGGAGAGTCTGAGACTCGTTGAAAAAGTAATTGAACAGAGAGATGGCTTCGTCGTACCGTCTTAGTCTGGCGCTGCACATGGCGCCGATTACGGAATTGCAGATGAAGACGGTGTCACTGTCGACCCGAAGTTCGTCCAAGACAGCGAGGCGCGAGAGCTTCGAGGCTTTGTCCAGATTACACAGCTCGATCATTGCCGTGACTCTGTAGCGCAGAGAAATTGGGCGGCCATCGATATCCGTGATGGAGACCGGATCAAGCTTGAGGAGTGAGGAAGGGTCTCTTCCGAGTGGGTAAGGCTTAAACGCCTTCGCAACCGGAACAGCCTTTGTCGAATTACGGACTATGCGGCGGAGGAGGGACATGACCTGGGAGTTAGGGTTCTGTTTTGCAGGTGCATTAAAATATCGATAATGGTAAAAGGCCCCATTTATACTATATATTTTTAACATAAGGCCAGTTATTATACATATTTTCACCATAAGGCCATAGAACATGATTAGTTTAAGAATAGTTTAGGAACATATTGGCCATGAATATTTTGTAGTTTATAAATGGGTTATAGGTTTTTGGTTTTTGGTATTTTAGTTTTTGATTTTTTACTGTAGGTTTTAGTTTTCGCAAAATTTTGACTGGTAATTTTGTTTACTTTTTTAGTTTTATTTGAAAAAGAAAATTTAGAAAATTTCTTAAACTAGCATCATTTAATAACATGTTACCTAAATTACAAATTATAATTTATCATCATCCCATCAAATTATGGAACTATAGTCATCAAATATTAGCTAACATATTGGAAAATGAATCTTATCCTTTAGTTTCTACTAAACAAATCACAATCGTTAATTTAAAAAAAATGATTAAATATTCTAACCACAATCATCTTCGAATGAATATTGCGTCTAGAGAATATTCTGCTAATTATACTCCCACAATCGTTTTAAAATTACCATAATTCAAGTATTTTCCATTCCAAAAATAAATAATTTAGAACTCTTTGTTTCTACGTTTGCTTTTCAATCATATTCTTCTCGCAACCTAAAAACCCTACTCGGCAAAAATGTCTATGGCTCTTCCCCTCTCATTCACACCACTCAAAGATTTGAAACCTTACAAAAACTCATGGCGTATTCAAGTCAAAATTCTTCATAGTTGGAGAATGTTTTCAGCTAAGTCTGGTGAATCAATAGAATTGATTCTTGCGGATGAAAAGTATGTCTTTTATTTTCATTTACCATATGTACTTTATATAAGCTTCATATAGTTTATAATTGTGGGTTTTAATGTAGAAATATTGGCATTCTCACACCGTTTCCAACTTTGTTATTACACTTCGGCACCGTTTGAGACCAAGGCACCGTTTTTTATTGTGAATAGACCAAACACTCCCTGACTAAACTTTTCACTAAACAATTTCTTTCACAATATTATTTCACCCACTAAATTTTGTTTTCTTTATTATTTTAATTTTAATATAATAAACAGAAAAATATCTTCTCATCAATTATCCATCGATTCCAACGAAAAAAAGATTGAATATAATATCTAAATCCCCAACTCATCTTGTACAATCTACCATGTTTTTTTTTGAAGAACTTTTCTCAACTACAATGTTTTTTTTCGAATCTCAGATCTGGTTGCCAGAGATCTTGTAGGAAAACAACTGCCCAGAAGCCTTCTTCGTCTTTAACCTGCTCTACCCAGATTTGTTTTTCAATGGATATACAAATTCTTCAAAGTTTTCTTCACTATTCTTCTGCTTCCTCCGATTACGTTATTACCACTACAACCCCCATTAGATTCTTCTATCATAAGGAATTCGTTTAATATTCTTCATTGTCGTAGGGTTTTGAGTCAAGACGAAACACCTTTCTAGAGTCGTCGAAATTATCAATCCAGCCATATGTTGAAGTGTTGTTTTGTGGAAAAACCTTAGCAAACGTAGATTTTGTGGACATATAATTGTGGACTTCAGTATTTTGGATGGCACTTCTTGGATAGAACAAGTTCCAGAGGTCATATCTCACATTTTTGTTGATTTTGGAAATTTTCTTGGATGGCGTGTAGTTAGAAACGCTTGTGCTGTGTCATAGTTTTCCTTTGATCAATCATACATGTGCATATACTAAAAAGGAACGTCTTGGTTTGCTTGAAGAAGTAAGCACGTTCGTGTCCGAAATGTACGTCACGTTACTTAACTCTGCTTTTATTCAACGTGAGATGTGGATGTCCACGAGATAATGACCATATGTTCAGTCTATTTGAATATCCATAAGAACATCTTGCAAATTTATAATTTCAATGAATCTTCCTGAATTTTATGAGAATACCATAAAAACAAACAAGTTCACAATGATAGCCATAAGAACAAGAAAAATATCATTGTTTTGTTTCCTAATCATACCAACAATACACGTAACCATCACACCACATTGTTACCATCGAACCGCTGCCATCAATTCACATCACAACATTGCAGCCACCACATCGTATCCACCATATTGCATCCATCACATTGCATCACATTCACCGAAACGGAACTCTACCATTGATTTTCATTTTTGTGGACAATGATTCATGGATTTCATCTCTGTGAACAGAGTTTATTGGACATTTTTTTCCTAAATTTGGTGGCCACATTGGAACACAATGTTACTGAGAATCTCCATAAACTAAAGATACAAAGAATTTAAATGACCACGAAATAGCAAAATTTTAAAAGAGATTAAAATAATGAGTCATAATTTAAGGTACACAACCATTTAATTAGAAGATTGGGTCAAACAAACAACTCCAGAAAACATGAAAAATTGAATCTCGCCGGAGAAATCCCAAAAAAAACGAAATATCAAACAAACGAACACTTAATCAATTCAATGTTTAGCAGCATACATAAAAATACAAATTAACTCACCTTAGATGAGAAGAGTTTCTAGATCCCCTTTCTTGGAAATTTTAAAAAAAACTGTAAAGAATTAATAAAACAAAGAAATTTGAGTAAAACTTCATGACTTTTAAGTTTTAACCCAAAAAAAAGTAGTAAAGATAATTCACATGAATCAGACCAAAGTGCCGCAATTTCACGTTGAGTATAAGAACCTAGAGAGAGAGAAAAAAAAACTCTCGTCGAGAGTAAGAAGAAGAAAGAGATGATTTTTTTATTTTGCAAATTATAAGCCTTTTCGTTTGTTTCTCTCATCTTTAAATTGAAGGACATAATTGTCCAAATCTGGGGTCTAGAGTGTAAAAGTAAGTAGAAAACGGTCTCTAAACACATAAGGGTGTTAAAGCGAGAACAAAGACACATAAACGGTGTTAACATACAACATTCTCTTTAATGTA